AACTTTTTGAGGGTAACTCTAGGAAAAAGTGTCATACTCAAGATAGATACTCAAATTTCAAAAGAGTATTGCCTTTTAGGAAAACCATGAGAATATCGGTTTTGATTTGAATAATATTGTGGTGGCCGGAGAGAGTGCTGGCGCGTCGTTGGCCAGTTTGGTTGCTGTAAGTCCGAGGTTCGATGGTGAGTGCGAGATACGAGAGAAGAAACACTAAAAATCACTAGAAATGGAGATGGGGTAGGTGGTCGGCTTTTACAGTACTTTGTTATGGACTTGGCTACGGATAGCATTTTAGATTGGATTGGTTTTTATCCAATAGGTGAATTCATTGGATCGGATCGGATGATGCCCGGGCCAATTTATATGTCGTAGCCGCTAACGAAATTCAGCCGCTAGCGAATGAGGGTATTTCCGGGCATCCAATCAAAAAGTCACCCACATAAAAAATGTTCATAATACATATATTTTATAATAAATTTTTGAAATTAGCTCATTTGGTTCAGTAGAAAATTTTTTTTGAGCCCCCAAAGTTTATGTTCAAAAATGCCCTAAAATGGCTATAAAAAATTTTCTACTCAGCCAAAAAACTTGCCTAATAGCTCATTTTGTAGCCAATTTGATGTAGTTTCTTAAAGTAAAGTCATCTAAAACAATTTTTCGTTGAAAGTAGGAGAAAGAGGGCGAAGAACAAGTTCAGGGCAATTCTCAAATGTGAAAACAGCGACCGAGTTCAACTGAAGTCGTTCCTCGCCCTCTTTCTCCTAGCTTTGAAAAACAAATGTTCAATGTAGCTTTACTTTAAGAATCTACATCAAATTGGCTACAAAATGAGCTAATAGGCAAGTTTTTTGGCTGAGTAGAAAATTTTTTATAACCATTTTAGGGCATTTTTGGACCTAAACTTTTGGGGCTCAAAAAAAATTTTCTACTGAACCAAATGAGCTAATTTCAAAAATTTATTATAAAATATATGTATTATGAACATTTTTTATGTGGGTGACTTTTTGATTGGATGCCCGGAAATACCCTCATTCGTTAGTGGCTGAATTTCGTAAGCGGCTACGACATATATACTAGTTTTGCGGGCATATGCTAGTTATTCAATTTATATGAAAATTAAGGCACTTATAGGATAATTACTGAAAATTTTACTTGAAATAAGCTTCGATATGCTAATTTTTGAGCCCTTTACATAAATCCTTTTATCGTTAATCCATCAGATCGGACAATTTCTGATAGCCCAGGAGAGGATTTTATACGATCCAATCACCAAGTCTACTGCGTTATATCTTACACATATTTGGACATTACCGCTTTTCATTCAAAATCCCTTCCTCTTTCAGGTCTCGTTCACGGAGTGATGTTGTTTTCTGGAACGTTCACTGGATCGTGGGCTGTCAGAAATAAATACACCGTATGTGAGAGTGTTGAATAACTATCAAGGATCTCCCATCAGTTCGCCTGAAATCGCCAAAATATTATTTCTTACATGTAAATTTTAATGTTCGAGCCAGACCGGGACGCCTCGGCAGCACATGAATGTACAGGATGGCGCACAATTAAGGAAACTCGATTCTTTGGTTGGCACCTCTGAACTTCGAGGAATTATAAAGAATGTACCATTGTATTTCTGAACTAAAAATTGAAATTGATCACAGTAATTAATATATAAATATAAAATGAAGAAAATTGAATAATTGTGCGTTGAGTTACAGTCGAAAAGCCGAGTTTCCATAATTGTGCGCCAGCCTGTATAATACAAATTCATGAAATTAGCATTTAAGAATTTTGGGTGGAATGATTTTAGCCAAAATGGACGGTTCTTATTATCTACTATATATAAAAGAGAAATATCCGTCCGTCACAGGCACCTAACTCGGCGTCCAGAGTGAAATTCGGGACGCACTTTTTTTTGTTCGATAGGAAATTTTATGCTGATTCCGCCCCCACAAAAATCAAGAAAATCCATCACACAAATTTTTAAAAAAAGTTGAAATACTGCGAAGCCATGGCCCTTTTGCTGGAAATCATGCGGACGCCAAGCGGAGCTGGTTAAGCATAATAACTGAATAAAGATTTTACAAGCTATAGTCGAACCCTCATTTAACATTAACTTTCGGTCCTCAGAGAACTTTTTAACGTTAAAATGAACCTCGATTTAAGCTTAGAAATTTTCGAGCCCTTGAGCGATGTTAAATTACAATTTTGGTGTAATTTTTTACAACCTTAGGTGGCAAACACTAGAGATTTATTCGAGAACTCAAAGTGTGCGAACGGAACGTCGATTGTCATCAAAAAAGTGCATGCAAAAGTGAGCCAAAAATTCGCGTAAATTCGAATTCAGTCGTGATTTCTTGTATAGCTCTCATTTTTGTCTCTTTTATGCTCTATATGGCATTACTCCAATTTTAGGCGAAGAAATCCCTCTACCAAGACGCCGTCACTCCGCGCATCTTCAAGACGAATCTCCACAAAAACCACAGTGTAAATGGCTGGGCCTAATTTTTTTCTTTCGACATTTGAACATTTTCAGTTAAATTATGAGAATATTCGAATGGGAATGACCTTTTTCACGCCAATTGTCGATGATTTTCGAGGAAATGACTCCTTTCTGCCGAAACAGCCCGAAGTGCTTGTCAGGTTTGCTTGTCAGAAAGCAAAAATTTGAGTTGTTTTCTGTAGATAATTTAAACGATGGTTTAATGTCTACCAAATAGATTAAAAAAAATCCTAAAATGAGTTTGTGTGAGTGAAGATTGGGAAAAGTTTACTTGTTGTTAGTGTCCAATGATTTGGGACGATATAAGAAAACAATGAATCGCCTATTTTTCATCGAATCCAGGATCTAGTTCCAACGATCTCGATCTCACCGACCTCATCTCAGAGATTTTCATTGTGTTTTCAGATTAGATGCTTATCCCATCTCAGCTTTAATCTCAATTTTCCATTGAAAACGCAAAAATTTCGGAGTAGCCTATATCCTGTCTCACAAATATAAAGGAAATTTGAGATGAGATTGAGGCGAGATCGAATACACCAATCTCATCTCACAATATAAATGAGACGACCGCCATTCTCAAGATTGAGAAGCTCAACTTTGAGATGAGATCGGTGAGATTGAAATTGGTGGAACCGACAAAAACTTAGAGCAATCTAATAAGAGCATATCTAACCTCTAGATAATTGGGAACGGTCTGTCTGCCTGTGTGTCTGTCTCTGTGTCTGTCTGTGTGTCTGTCTCTGTGTTTGTCTGTGTGTCTGCCTGTGTGTCTGTCTCTGTGTCTGTCTCTGTGTCTGTCTGTGTGTCTGTCTGTATGTCTGTCTCTGTGTCTGCCTGTGTGTCTGTCTGTGTGTCTGTCTGTATGTCTGTCTCTGTGTCTGCCTGTGTGTCTGTCTGTGTGTCTGTCTGTGTGTCTGCCTGTGTGTCTGCCTGTGTGTCTGTCTCTGTGTCTGTCTGTGTGTCTGCCTGTGTGTCTGCCTGTGTGTCTGTCTCTGTGTCTGTCTGTGTGTCTGTCTGTATGTCTGTCTCTGTGTCTGTCTGTGTGTCTGCCTGTGTGTCTGCCTGTGTGTCTGCCTGTGTGTCTGCCTGTGTGTCTGCCTGTGTGTCTGCCTGTGTGTCTGCCTGTGTGTCTGCCTTTGTCTGTCTCTGTGTCTGTCTTGTGTCTGCCTGTGTGTCTGCCTGTGTGTCTGCCTGTGTGTCTGCCTGTGTGTCTGCCTGTGTGTCTGTCTCTGTGTCTGTCTGTGTGTCTGCCTGTGTGTCTGCCTGTGTGTCTGTCTCTGTGTCTGTCTGTGTGTCTGTCTGTATGTCTGTCTCTGTGTCTGTCTGTGTGTCTGCCTGTGTGTCTGCCTGTGTGTCTGCCTGTGTGTCTGCCTGTGTGTCTGTCTGTGTGTCTGTCTCTGTGTCTGTCTGTGTGTCTGCCTGTGTGTCTGTCTCTGTGTCTGTCTGTGTGTCTGTCTGTATGTCTGCCTGTGTGTCTGTCTGTGTGTCTGTCTCTGTGTCTGTCTGTGTGTCTGTCTCTGTGTCTGTCTCTGTGTCTGTCTGTGTGTCTGCCTGTGTGTCTGTCTGTGTGTCTGTCTGTGTGTCTGTCTCTGTGTCTGTCTGTGTGTCTGCCTGTGTGTCTGCCTGTGTGTCTGCCTGTGTGTCTGTCTGTATGTCTGTCTGTGTGTCTGTCTGTGTGTCTGTCTCTGTGTCTGTCTCTGTGTCTGTCTGTGTGTCTGCCTGTGTGTCTGTCTGTGTGTCTGCCTGTGTGTCTGTCTGTGTGTCTGTCTGTGTGTCTGTCTCTGTGTCTGTCTGTGTGTCTGTCTCTGTGTCTGTCTGTGTGTCTGCCTGTGTGTCTGTCTGTGTGTCTGTCACGCTTTTCAATCTCAGTTCCCCTTGATTTTAAAACGGTTTTTTATTCGAAAGAGGAGAAAAAAAATTAGGATATTGACTATTACATTAATTTTTTAAAATAATGAAGTTTTGATACCCAAAGTTATAACTAAAAAGGGTTTTTTCGCTCTGCAGGCGCGCGGAAAGAGATATCCAGCTGAAAGTATCACATGTAAGACCCAAAATTCTATGAGGAATCTTTATCTGAAGTCAGATCAAAAAAATATTGAACGAGATATTCATTTTTTTTCTTGCATTTTTTCGGCCAAACGCCCCTTTATGTGGTGCGCGACTTGGTAGAGTGGTTTGCGCGTCTGTCTCCCAATAATCAAATGGGGGTAACTACAAAATACGGCGAATTTTGAGGGAAAATCAAAAATGGTTTAGATCAAACGCCCATTTGCCGATGCTGATCAGCAACGTAGCGCACGAGAAAACGGAATTCTGTCATCAAATGGGTGATAAACGTTTAATTTGTTCATTTGTTCAATACTTCATTGTAGCCTTTTGAAAATCACTTCTGTGACATTAAATTCATAAGCAAATGTCTCAAGAAAATTGTAAAATGTTTAGCTTTTAAGCCCAAATGACATCTCATCTGCCAGCGCGTTTCTGGGTGAAAGAGATGGTACCCGAACGGTACAATGGATCCACAACGGTCAGAGTGTTATTGACCGAACGGTGAGCGTTTGCAGAACTGTACCGTAGAACTATACTATACAGAAATAGAACTGTAAAAATGACTTAACGTAAACTTTCTATTAGAATGAAACTTTCTATTAGAACTTTCTATTAGAATGACTTAACGTAAACATTCTATTAGAATGACGGCTTCCAATAGAATGACAGCTTTCAATAGAATGACAGCTTTCAATAGAATGACAGCTTTCAATAGAGTCACAGCTTCCAATAGAGTCACAGCTTCCAATAGAATGACAGCTTTCAATAGAGTCACAGCTTCCAATAGAGTCACAGCTTCCAATAGAATGACAGCTTTCAATAGAGTCACAGCTTCCAATAGAATGACAGCTTTCAATAGAGTCACAGCTTCCAATAGAATGACAGCTTTCAATAGAGTCACAGCTTCCAATAGAATGACAGCTTCCAATAGAGTCACAGCTTCCAATAGAATGACAGCTTTCAATAGAGTCACAGCTTCCAATAGAGTCACAGCTTCCAATAGAATGACAGCTTTCAATAGAAGGACAGCTTTCAATAGAGTCACAGCTTCCAATAGAGTCACAGCTTCCAATAGAATGACAGCTTTCAATAGAAGGACAGCTTTCAATAGAGTCACAGCTTCCAATAGAGTCACAGCTTCCAATAGAATGACAGCTTTCAATAGAGTCACAGCTTCCAATAGAGTCACAGCTTCCAATAGAATGACAGCTTTCAATAGAAGGACAGCTTTCAATAGAATGAAACCCCTTTCCAGAGCCCATTCAGCATACATGCAAAATTCCACAATTAGCATATAAAATTTATTAATTTTGCATACATACATTTTATGCAGCTTCTTAATTTGCATATATTTTTGCATTTTTATGATACCGTTTGAGTCATTCCTTATTAGAAAATCGATTTTGTTTCAGCCAGCAATTATGCGCTTTTTTGATCCAGGTTTTTTGTCAGGATACCGGATAAAAACGGGATATCCGCGTTTCCGAATCCAGATATCGGCCCGATCTTGGTTTGCATAATTTTTGACATTATCTTTAATGTAAAATCTAACTAACTTTGGACGCATTAGAGAAGAGAAAAGAGATTCTATAGTTGTAGTTATCGAAGAGAGAAATGAGACTCAGAGGTAACAAACTTCGCTTACTTACTAATGCTTTCCAATAAAGATATTTTTCAGATTTATGGATGGCGCGTCGAATGTGAGACGTGGGATTCAATATCACAATATGATACAAGGCAGGTCGAAAGAATTGTATAATTCAGAATTTTCTGAGGCTAAGCTGACAAGGGGTCGATCAAAAATGAAGGTAAAGCAGATTTTTTGCTGATAAACCCACTAATTTTTGCTAACCGTTAGCAATTTTCGAAAAATTTGCGTTCAAAGTCAAAGTTGAAAGTAAATTTGGGCAAAAGTGCTTTTCAAATCAAGAAATTAGCTGAATAGATTTCTTGGAAAATTTGGCTATATACCAAACTTTTTGTGTTCGATCTTTTATCTATTGACATGAAGAGTGGTTTCCTTTAGCTAAAGTGGCTAAACCGCATCATCGAGTTAGCGTTTTTTGACGCTCCAAAAAAAATCCAGACCTTTTAAAACCCGTTTTAAACCATAAAAACCTTTCAAAACCCGTTTTAAACCATAAATTCTTTGAGGAACCGTGGACTCTACTTAAGAGTGACATGAATATTCACGGATTGAACGATCTCTTTTTCATTTCATCTCCAGCACTGAAAGTGATATGAATTGTATCATTTCCTGCCCCGGCATCAACTCCTTATCAACTCTATCAAAAAAAGTGTTTATTGTTCAATTTCGTTTTTGACTACCCGACACGAAGATAGGTTTCCTTTAGCTAAGGTGTCTAAACCGCATCATCGAGTTAGCCCTTTTTGACTAACCGACTTCATGCTCCCAAGAAAATCCAGGCATAAGATATTTTTAAACTCGTTTTAATGTTATTTTGCAGAAAAATAATTGGTTGTTCTAATGAAATCAACCGTAGTTCAATTGGTGCATTTGTTGGCTTGAAACGGCAGACGAAAAGGAACGGAAAGACTTATGCATCAACCTAATATTAATTTTAGTTGGAAAATATTTACCTAAACTAAAATATAAGATCTGGAGCATAATTTTTTAAAATATGAATTAGTGCTATAAAAACAAGGATATTAAGATTGAGATTTCGTTGATTCCAGAAGAGCTCGTCTCCGATTCCCACCATGAGGCTCTCTTCTACGCGGATCGAAATCTCACCGTTTATGCCCTTCTAAACGTTGTTTATGATGTAGAAAAATTGGGTTTGTTTATAGACGATTTACAAATATTATATTAATATGGTATAACAATTTTCAGATGGCCGACACAGAGAATCCTTCTTGTCACGTCACGGACAAGAGCTTGCGATGCTTTTCGATTCGTACGAGATAGCTTATCAAGATCGGAGTTTTTTGTGAGAACTCTTTGAGCTTTTTAGAAATAAGCTAAGAATTTGTATAGTAAGTTATACATAAAATAAAATACAATTCAATAGAATCTCTCTCAGATTTCAGATGGCCTCCAGCTGGCCTACACAGAGTAGCCTTTTTATGGAGCTTCTATTTTCATTTTTGTCAATGAGTCAATGTTTCAATTCAATTTTGTGTTTCCAAAGGGAACTACCATTTCCTCTAAAAGTTGATCGACTAAAATAAAGTTAGTACAGGGTGGAACACAATTACCCGCACTCAGTTCAAATTCACATTTTGAACTTTGCTCCCTAATCGAAATACAGTCATGGACAAAAGTCTTTTAACTTTGGTTTTCAGAACTTTGTTCTTTGTATATCTTCGTCCAATCCGACCAATTTGCAATCCAATCCGACCTTTGAGCTTTTTAGAAATAAGCTAAGAATTTGTATAGTAAGTTATAAAATAAAATACAATTCAATAATCTCTGTCAGATTTCAGATGGCCTCCAGATGGCCTACACAGAGTAGCCTTTTCAAGTCACGCAAAAGATCTTTTTTATAGAGCTTCTATTTTCATTTTTTTTTAATGAGTCAATGTTTCAATCGAATTTTGTGTTTCCAAAGGAAACTACTATTTCCTCAAAAGGTTGATCGACTAAAATAAAGTTAGTATACCGTATTTATTCCAAAAGACGGGCATACCCGTCTATTTTTCAACCTCCCAAAATTGATCCGCCAAAAAAATAGTTCTGGGTCTCCCACATAAATCAAAATTTTTGAAAAATTGATAAAAAACTATTTTAAACGATAGGACTTCGTCTAAAACATGCTGAAAACATGTTTAAAAGTGAAATTATTTTCTCATCCGAGTCATGGAGAATCACCCACAAAAAAAAAGAACGTTGTTCCCCATATAAAATTTTTTCACTTTTTTCAAAAAGCACATTTCTAATTTTACTGCCAATGATAAAATACTTCTATCTGGACTCATATCTACAACTTTAGCTTAAAAAATGTTTCAAAAAGTCGATATTTCAAGGGGCCAGGGGGTGCCCGTCTATTAGGTATATTCCTTTTGCAGCGACTCCTCTTTTGCCGTCCAGTCTCGAATCATCTTTGGAGTGACCTTAAACTATCGAGCAGCCGCCTCTTTCGAGTTTTTCTTTGAAAAACGAATGGCCTCGAGTTTAAAGGCGGCACTGTAGGCTTTCCGTTTCGTAGCACCTCCGATCCCCTAAAAAAATGCTACTTTTCCGTTATACCCCGCCAGGAAATGTGGAGATGGCGGAGGTATAATGGAAAAGTACCAAAAAAATTATTAGTACAAGATGTAGAACAATATCAAAAAAATAGTGCTATTGAATGAAAATATAATATTTTTACCCTATTGGGTAAATTCCCTTATTCTTTTCCCGTATTTGAGTACGTTCACTTTCGCGCAGAATAGAAAACGGGGTACCTCGAATATAAGACCGGTCTTATATTCGAGACGGTCTTCTATTTTTTCGATCATCCCCTAGACCCCGCCTTCTATTCGAGACGGTCTTATAATCGAGGCAGGTCTTCTATTCGAGTAAATACGGTAAATACGGTATGTATAATAGTGTATATGTCGTAGCCGATTATGAATGAAATTTTTTGGTAAATCTTTCTGGTAGAGCAACCCTTTAATGTATGAGGACAATATTATATCATTTTGTAGCGAATTCAATTCCGCGTCGATTGGTACCAAAATTTGTGAGTTTAGGTTAAAAATTGCCGGCTATACAACGTTTCATTCAAAATCGACGGGACCCCCGTAGCCGATTATGAATGGGTGGGTCTAGGAGCGTCCAACCATCAAGTATTTGGTATCATTCAACGCAGAATCATTAATAATTATGTTAAATTTTTAAAATTAGAAAGATTTGATAAAAAGAAAAAAATTAGAGCAAAAAAACTGTTTGTTCAAGAGGAAACTTTGAGGCCCCATAATTTTTTTCCTTTTTATTCAATCTTTCTAATTAAAAAAAATTTAACATAATTATTAATGATTCTGCGTTGAATGATACCAAATACTTGATGGTTGGACGCTCCTAGACCCACTCATTCATAATCGGCTACGACATATATACAGGGTGCGTCATAATTATTGCAACAGATACTCAAGGCATTGCACACCAAGAAGTTTCACTGGAAGAAGATTTTTAAACAGAAATAGCTTTATTTAACAGTAACAAATAAGGAAACAAGAGATCATTCGATATGACCGCCTTTTGCCTTGATAACAGCCCTTAATCGGTTCGGATATGACTGCGGCCCGAATGTCATCTTGAGGAATCGCCTTCCATCCTTTGTGTTTTCGAGAGCAGACATTAGCCTCTAAGATTGCCCAAATGGAAAAGTCCATCACATTGAGATCCGGTGAGTTTGGAGGCCATTCATCCTTGGCGAGTTGGCCACACACCAGTCCTGAACCGTCTTCTTTGTGTGAGCGGGAGCTCCATCTTGCATGAAGGTCCAATTTTGATTGTTATTGGCTTTACACGCCCATGACATCACATTCTTGACATCACAAACGGTCTTTGAACTCTTGTTGCAATAATTATGACGCACCCTGTATAGTAATAGAAAGCTATAGGTGAAACGGGTAAAATTCTCAGAAACATAATAAAAATGATTTTATTTAGAAAACCAGAAGTTGAATGGGGCAAAGCGTTTGCGGAGAAACTCTCACAAATCATAGCCGATTTTGTCTACACAAAGTTCGTTTACAAAGCTTCAATTCACTTTTTAAGCGAAATTTCAAAGCTAATTCTTCGAAAAAATGTGTTTCACGTAGATTTTGGATTTGGATGCGTTTTTGATTAAATCGTTTCGATTTTTGGCTTATTTGAAATTCTCGATTTCCGATTTAAATCAAAATTGACCTTACAAAAGTTTTTTTGTTTGGTTTTTTCGGGATCTGAAAAATTCGGTTCGATTTTGATCGATTTAATCCGAGAATGAAAAATTTCGGTTTTGGGTCTACAGTCCACTCTATAACGGAATGGAAGAGATCAAAAAAATTTTCCGCTATATAGAGGGTCGTTATAAATAGCTTAGCGTCGGTCAGGACCAAAATTCCATTCCGTTATATAGAGTTTTCCGCTATACAGGGTGGCTGAAAATTACGTGCGCCAAAGAAAACGCCATAATTTACTTTTCTTTCAAAGAACATGTACACGACCAAAGAACATCGTCAATGCGCCGCACCTTGAAAAAAGCTCGCAATTTCTTGCATTTCTCCTTCCGGTTTCGCATGGCTTGATCGGTGAACACTTGCCCGTTTAACAGTCGATAACTTCGAAGTCCGAGCTCATTTTTCACTATCGATTGAACCGAGAAACGCGAAATTTGAAGCTGTTTTGCCATCTTGTTCAAACTACGATCGTCTTTTCGCTCGATCCTCCTCTTGATGATCCCGTGCATCTTTCGGGTGTTAACGGTCCTCTTTCGTCCTCTTCCGGGTTTGGACTGAACATGCCCCTCATCTTTCCATTGCTTTACGATCTTCTGGACGGTCCACAGAGCCACTCCAAGCCTCGATGCGACCGACGAGTTCTTCATGTCGCTCGTCGCCAGCTGTGCGTCGCCAGCGCTGTGCGTCCCGACTAGCGCACGTCTTTGTCATGTCCTAGAAAACAACTTTTTTAACACAAAATTAATAGACAACGATAAAAAGAATATTAAAACACAAAAAGATGGGTAGTAATGCTTTATACATTGTTTAAAACTATTTCAGATGCTGCGCGCACGTAATTTTCAGCCGCCCTGTATAGATTTCCGTTATAGAGAGAGTCGACTGTATTTCATCACAAATCCAAAATCGATTTCATAGATCTTTTATCGTCAGACATCTCATTTTTATCCGAAATTTTCCTTCAGAAAACTCGGCAATCATCCGCCATTCACTCGCTCTCATCGCTCCTTTATTCGCGTCTCCAATCGAACTATTCAATATAGGACATACGATCATGAAGCCTATTATTTTTGGTTAGAAAATATGAAATCCCAAGCTTTTCTTATTTGAACAGCTTTGAAAAACCGTTTTTCATTGTTCAGCTGTTTTTTTTAACATTTGTGAATATCATTTCCGGCTCTTAAGTGGAATCGACGACTTCTCAAAGAATCCAACTTCACATTTTCCAAAAAGTTTTATCAGTATTCAGAAATAGGATATAATTCTGCTTCTAATTTTAATCAAACATGTAAATTTGATAATAAATCTCTAGAGAAAAGTCACTTTAGGGTACATGTAAAAAAGAAAAAGTCGAGAGTTGTCTTAACTCTCGACTTTTTCTTTTTTACATGTACCCTAAAGTCGCGAGTATAAGTTCTGTTTGGTTTTCGCATGCAAATTGACGGCTGTCTCCGGTGCGGTGCGTCGAGGGTTCGAATCCCGCTGCAGCATAACTTTTTTGCTTTTTAGGAACCATAATAATAGTAAATTTATTTGAGGGTTATAGCAATTTTATGCTGTTATTTGTTGCTACGGGCGTGGCTCGGCGCGTCCGCCCTGCTCCTCTCCGGTGCTCAGTCTTATGGATCCCTCCCTGGCCTCTTCATCCGGCCAAAGTCCACGTCGACGGTCGAAAGAGATGCTTTCCAGCGTCTTCTTCAACACTATCGTCTGGATGTATCCATGCACATAACAAATAGCAATGGTGATAGGCTGTCACCCTGTAGTATCCCGCGCTCCAAGAACAATAATAAAAGTTTATATAACAATAAAAATGTATAAAAACCCAACAAAAAGAAATTCAAAGCAATTAAAGCGAATGTAAATTAAGGCAGAACTTATACTCGGATGAACTTATAGACTTTAGGGTAATTTTCTCGGCGAATTTTACTCAGATTTACATGTCGTTAGACGCAGAAGGATCTCCTATTTCTAAGTATTAATACAAGTTTTGAAGACTGGGAAGGGAATTAAGCGCTTATTTTGGCGTTGAGCCCCTGAGGAATCGTAAATTCTTAGAGGAACCGTGGACTCTACTTATGAGTGACATGAATATTCACGGATTGAAAGATCTCTTTTCAAAGTGATATGGATTTTATGATTTCCTTTGCAGGCATCAACTCCTTCCAACGATCTCTCGTTTCAATGTGAGTCTCAAAAATTTGAGTCATTTTTATATTATCTTTCTAGCTTCATCTGCCCAAGGATCGACAAACAAACGACACTTCACCGAAGCTTTTCGATTTCACCGATCCCTTTGAACGCTATGTTTTTGATAGTTGATTTGACGTATAATAAATTTTTTTTATTTCAAAAAATCCTTAATACTCGAATCATTTTGTATGTTTTTGATGCAAGGAAATCTTTTTGTTCATCAAAAATTCATTGCCGAATTTCCTTCAAATATTCCCTCTTGATTCCCTCGTAAGAGGGAGAGAACCATCTCGAAAATAGCGACAAAAATATTCTAGAGAATTTTTGTTTGATCAGTTAAAATTACAGAACTCAAATTTCTTTAAAAATATACATAATTGTTCTAGATCGCAAGAATTTATTAGTACCGTAAATATTCTAATAGAAGCACACCCTATAGGAGCGTCGCGTAGTCCAAGTTTACACTCAAAGAACAGCTCATATCTCGCTCATAATTCACATATCACAAAAATTTTTGATTACCTTTTAAAGAAGTTTTTTTTACAGCTTGAAAATCACAATATTGGTTCATCTCGTTAAACTCTAAAGCCGTCTTTTTTGAGTCATTTTTATTTCATCAAAAATTCATTTTGATTATTAATTTTCAAAAGTAGAGCGTCGAATAGACGTTTCGGGGAGTGGGACAAATGCGACCTTTTTTTGGGCACCCGGACATTTGCGCACCTTTTTTTCCGCACCTTTTTTTCCGCACCTTTTTTTCCGCACCTTTTTTTCCGCACCTTTTTTTCCGCACCTTTTTTTCCGCACCTTTTTTTCCGCACCCTTTTTTCCGCACCTTGCCCATTAGCGCACCTTTTTTCGCGTTTTAAAAAAGCCCTAAAAGCTAATATTGACCAATTTCTATTCCAAAAGTTGTTTTCCTAGGTAATTTTAGGGCGTAGAATCGAAATTTTCGCATATCAGAGCTTGTGGAAGCGAACGGACGGAGTTATACAAAGAGAAAAATCAACAATTTTCTGTAATTTGACCTAGCCGTTTTGTCTTTCAAATTGGTTCCACAAATCAAACCAAATTTTATACTGATTTTATTCTTTTTTTTATATTTTCTATATTCACATTCTTCCAAATTTGTATTAATACTTAGAAATAGATCATTCTGCGTCTAACGACACTAATATATGTAAAAAAGAAAAAATCGAGAACTCTTTTCTTGACTTTTCTCTAGAGATTTATTATCAAATTTATATGTTTCGTAGAGTTTTTTATAGATTTTTACGAAAAACGCGTTTGTCACTCTCGAATTTGCTTGAAAGTGAACCAAAATTTGACCCAGAAGCTTGAAGGGAATTAAGCGCTTATTTTGGCGTTGAGCCCCTGAGGAACCGTAAATTCTTTGAGGAATCGTGGACTCTACTTATGAGTGACATGAATATTCACGGATTGAAAGATCTCTTTTCAAAGTGATATGGATTTTAGTTTTAATGCAAATTTTGAAGAATGGGAAGGGAATTATGCGCTGATTTTGGTGTTGAGCGCCTGAAAAACCGTGGACTCTACTTATGAGTGACATGAATATTCACGGATTGAACGATCATTTTTCACTCCATCTCCGGCACTGAAAGTGATATGAATTGTATCATTCCCTTTCCAGGCATCAACTCCTTCTGACGATCGCTCGATTCAAAGTGAAACTCAAAAATTTGAGTCAATTTATATTATTTTTCTAGCTTCATCTGCCCAAGCATCAACAAACGAATGACACTTCACCAAAGTTTTTTCGATTTCATCGATCCCTCTGAACTCTTTGTTTTTGATAGTTGATTTGACGTATAATATCTTTTTTCAAAAAAAAATTGTGAATACACGAATCATTTTGTATGTTTCATGCAAAAATTTGCCGAAAACCAAAAGGAAATCTTTTTGTTCATCAAAAATTCATTACCGAATTTCCTTCAAATATTCCCTCTTAAGAAAATGTAAAGCTGGATTCTTTGAGAAGTCGTCGATTCCACTTAAGAGCCGGAAATGATATTCACAAATGTTAAAAAAAAACAGCTGAACAATGAAAAACGGTTTTTCAAAGCTGTTCAAATAAAAAAAGCTTGGGATTTCATATTTTCTAACCAAAAATAATAGGCTTCATGATCGTATGTCCTATGTTGAATAGTTCGATTGGAGACGCGAATAAAGGAGCGATGAGAGCGAGTGAATGGCGGATGATTGCCGAGTTTTCTGAAGGAAAAATTTCGGATAAAAATGAGATGTCTGACGATAAAAGATCTGTGAAATCGATTTTGGATTTGTGATGAAATAGGTCCAAAACCTAAATTTAGGATTCTCGGATTCAATCCAACAAAATCGAACCGAATTTTTCAGATTTCAGATTTCAGAAGAGAAACCAATCAAAAAAAACGTTTGTAGGGTCAATTTTGGTTTAGATTGGAAATCGAGAATTTCGGATAAGCCAAAAATCGAACCGATTGAATCAAAAACGCATCCGAATCCAAAATATTATTTTCTAAAAGAGTTCTCACGAAAAACACCAATATTGCTAAGCGATTTCATAGTAATCGGAGAGCATCACAAGAGCTTGTCCGTGACGTGACAAGGCTGCTCTGTGTCGGCCATCTGAAAATTGTTATACTATATTAATATAATAATTGTAAAACGTCAACAAAGAAACCCAATTTTCCTACATCATAAACATCGTTTACAATGGCATAAACGGTGAGGTTTCGATTCGCGTAGAAGAGAGTCTCATCTCAAAAAGCTCAAAGAGTTCTCACAAAAAACTCCGATCTTGATAAGCTATCTCGTACGAATCGAAAAGCATCGCAAGCTCTTGTCCGTGACGTGACAAGAAGGATTCTCTGTGTCGGCCATCTGAAAATTGTTATACCATATTAATATAATATTTGTAAATCGTCTATAAACAAACCCAATTTTTCTACATCATAAACAACGTTTAGAAGGGCATAAACGGTGAGATTTCGATCCGCGTAGAAGAGAGCCTCATGGTGGGAATCGGAGACGAGCTCTTCTGGAATCAACGAAATCTCAATCTTAATATCCTTGTTTTTATAGCACTAATTCATATTTTAAAAAATTATGCTCCAGATCTTATATTTTAGTTTAGGTAAATATTTTCCAACTAAAATTAATATTAGGTTGATGCATAAGTCTTTTCGTTCCTTTTCGTACTTCCGTTTAAAACCAACAAATGCACCAATTGAACTACGGTTGATTTGATTAGAAAAGTCAATTATTTTTCTGCAAAATAACATTAAAACGGGTTTATGCCTGGATTTTTTTGGGAGCATGAAATCGGGTAGTCAAAAAGGGCTGACTCGATGATGCGGTTTAGATACTTTAGCTAAAGGAAGTCTATCTTCGTGTCGATAGATCAAAGATAGAGCAAAAAAAGTTTGATATATAGCCAATTTTCGGAGAAATTCATTCAGCCAATTTCTTCGTAGAGCCTTTTAAAGACTTTTTTGATAGAGAAAACCATAGGTTAATTCGTGAATTTGTTACTTTTTAACGGAAGCACGAAAAGAAACAAAAGACTTATGCATCAACCTAATATGTGATAGAACATTTGACGCTTCAGTCTAGTAGGGAATCATTTTTCATTCCACTTGTTTTGTTGTTTTTTTTGGTAATAATCTTTTCCAGTATATGCTTATTCATAAAAGTGCAGGAGTACGAAAAAACCCAATAAATCATGTGAATGTACAAAAGATGAATGGAATTTTAGATTTGATTTTGATTATTGCCTCAACAATAACAGCTATAAAAAATAAAAATATTTTGTCTCAAGTCCATTATATAAACCCATCGAATATCCCATCAATCAACTCATTCTTCATCTAATCTCAGATTGAATAACGATTTCTACTTCAAAAATGTCGTTTCTTTCCCTTTTTACCCTTTTTTCCCTATCAATCGGCTTAATCGAATGTGGGGGTGGTCGATTGGATTTCGGACAAGCAGTCCAAGATATCGTCGATCAAATCAATCAAGACTATTCGGTGGTTGTCACCAATAAACTCTCATCAGCATCGATTTATCTCAAATGTGCATCAGCCGATGATGCGATTGTTGGAGAAGGATCTGATGATGGTGATTGGTGGACATTGGAGCCCGGAGCGGTGAGTGGGATGGGAAGGGGATAAGATATACAGTAGACATGTAAACTGTGTATCACTAATAATAGTAATACTCCTACTGTTGTATGTAATTGTAGTTATTTCATAGAGCAGTAGTAGTGGTAGTCAATCGTCCATTACAAGAACAGACTAGACTTTCTGGTAGTGATTTTCTGGTAAGCGAAACCATTTCATTTGAAACCTTAAAATTGGATTGATAAAATTTTGAAAAGATAAAAACCATATTGCTATCTTTTTCAGTCACTGTCATGGGGATTCGGTCAGAATAATTGGGAAACAACGTGTTTCTGGTGTTACGCCAACAGTAACGATCAAGCGGCTCGTGATTCGGGCAATTGGTACATTCATCAGAATGTTTGGGGAGTGGGAAGGTGAGTTGAGAAGCAATTAAATGTATACCGGTGTTACCGGTGTTCTTTATTCAAAAACATATAATCATGGACACCTTCTTTGTTGCTTGAGGAGAAGGACAGGGAATCCGGTCATCGAGACCAGGCGACCATCTAGGCCACAGCAGCTCGGGATTCGCTAGTCCTTCTCCGAACCAACTACGAACCGAGCCCAACGTTGCTTAACTCGACGGATCTGACGAGATACCGTGTTTCAACGTTGCTAAGCCGTATTAATGAGATCGAAGTATGATCTCGATGTGAAAGAGATAGATAAGATTGAAATACATCCAGATCATATCTATTACACTCATATAATATAATATTTCTCAGCAACGGCTGTGATGGAGCCCCGGCCGATCACAACGACGACGACGGAGAGAACGGAGCCACCCAGTGGGAGTTCCGAGATGATGGAGCCTACAGTAATATGTGCAACGATTGCGAGAATGGATCCATCTTTGAGAAATACGCCGATTGGGGACCCGAACCATAAACAAAACACATACAAATGTGCGAATAAATCTTTTTCTGATTAAATTTTCTTCTATAAAAAAGTTAACCAATGGCTACGACAACGAGCAACCTCGGGCAAAAAAAGAGTTAAAAATTGTTGTCAAAGAGGATTTGGTTTGAGTTAAAGAAAAGTTTATGAAAACTATCATAAACTATTATAAAAACTTTTAGAAAAACGCATAGTACGATAAATTTAAACTCGTTTTCTCAAAAGTTTTGTTAAAGTGAGGTAAATTTAAAAGCTTTATCCTAATCGAAATCTTGCCCTTTTTTATTTTAAATGAATCTCATTTCAAAGTTTAATATAAAATACATATCAAATACATAAAATACATTAAAATGCATGCACATACAAATACATAAATTTTGCATAAAGAAACCAATAAACCCCAATAAATCTACGAAGTTTTAAAAAAATCCTTTGCTTGAGACGGAGAGAACGGCGCCACCCAATGGGAGTTCCGAGATGATGGAGCCTACAGTAATATGTGCAACGATTGCGAGAATGGATCCATCTTTGAGAAATACGCCGATTGGGGACCCGAACCATAAACAAAACACATACAAATGTGCCAATAAATCTTTTTCTGAATAGATTTTCAACTATAAAAAAGTTAACCAATGGCTACGACGAACCCAGGTTTGAATAGTTTTTTTATATGAAGGAGTTGCCATTTGAAATTTTTTCTTGTTACATGTAATTTGCTCGGCGGATTTTACTAAGATTTACATGTTTTAAGTGTCGTTAGACGCAGAAGGATCTCGTATTTCTAAGTTTTAATGCAAATTTTGAAGAATGGGAAGGGAATTATGCGCTGATTTTGGTGTTGAGCGCCTGAGAAACCGTGGACTCTACTTATGAGTGACATGAATATTCACGGATTGAACGAGACCTTTTTCACTCCATCTCCAGCACTGAAAGTGATATGAATTGTAACATTCCCTTTCCTGGCATCAACTCCTTCCGACGATCGCTCGTTTCAATGTAAACCACAGAAATTTGATTTGGCCTATAATATCTTTTTTTTCCAAAAAAAATCGTTAATACACAAACCATTTTTTATGTTTCATGCAGAAATTTGCCGAAAACCAAAAGGAAATCTTTTTGTTCATCAAAAATTCATTACCGAATTTCCTTCAAATGTTCCCTCTTAAGAAAAGGTAAAGTTGGATTCTTTGAGAAGTCGTCGATTCCAGTTAAGAGCCGGAAATGATATTCACAATTACAAAAAAAAACAGCTGAACAATGAACAACGGTTTAACAACGGTGATTTTTTTGAGATATAGCACATATTTTTAGCATAAACCAGCGTTTAGAAAAAAATGATTGAAGATTGGCAAAAAAAGCCGATTTTTCATCATTTTTCAATGTCTTTTTTCTAAGCACTGGTTAATGCTAGAAATATGTGTCATATAGAAATTTGTTTCTGCGCGCTTAGGTATCAAATCAAAGTAGAGAGAATGGGTGATTTTTTAGGTATAACACTTATTTTTAGCACTGACCAGCGCTTAGAATAACATGATTGAAAAATGATGAAAAATCGGCTCTTTTTGCCACTTTTCAATCATTTTGCTCTAAGCACTGGTTAAAGTTAAAAATATGTGTCATATCTCAAAAAAAATTACCCATCCTCTCTACTTTAATTTGATACTCAAGCGCGCAGAAACAAATGTATTGGTGCTGAGAATATGAGTGTTTATTTGAGTGTAAAATTAGACTGCGCGACGCGACGCTCCTATAGGCTTCTATTAGAATATTTACGGTAACTTTTAAAGAAGTTCTTTTACAGCTTGAAAATCACAATATTGGTTCACCTTGTTAAACTCTAAAGCTCTCTTTTTTGAGCCATTTTTAATTTAATCATAAATTAATTTAGATGATTAATTTCTCAAATTCGTCGAATAGACTTTTTGAGAAAATTGACTCATGAAGGTACATATGCGCTCTCAACCCTTTCAGAACTCATTCATGTGTTTTAATGAGGCGATGAAGCCATTTACCCTTTCTCTTCATTATCTGTCCAAAGGAAAAAATTGCTCAAAAGTTTTCTCATTTTCCACCATTAACTCTTTTGGCGAAAACGTTCGGATAGCCAGTCTTTCGGAGTTTTTCCTCTCTAACGAATCCCTTTAGTGAAAAGGGCTTCCTCTTTAAAACTTTAAGCTCTATTTTCTCTGTTTTCTGATCAGTATTTTTTCGATTCAAATTTTTAGGGATGAACTCATCATCAACGGATCGCTTAAAAAAGTCTCAGTCAGATATCCCTTCAAGCACTCAACAATCTGATTCTTTCGATAAGGAGCTCAAAAAAGAGTCAAAAGAGGAAATCAACTCGAAAGAAGATGATTCGTAGAAATTGTTAAAAGTCTGATAGTATTAGAATTTCCCTATGATTATTAAAGCTGTAATAGTGGCCCCGGGGGCATTATTTTTTCGCTGACCCTTTGGGGTCGGGGTCACTATTAGATGGGGGTGAGGCTACTATTAGAGGGGAGTCATTATTTTATTCGTTGACCCTCTAGCGGGGCTACTATTGCAGCTTTTACGGTACTCATTTTTAGGAAAACACAAATATTCACGGATTGAGCGATTTCTTTTTCACTTCATCTTCGGCACTGAAAGTGATATGGATTGTATTGTTAATATTGGCTGCAATACTCACTGTTCATGGCTGTTACACGATCATTTTGGAATATTTAATGGGAAATGTCGTTGTTTCGTATTTTGTCTATGAAGCTCGTGAGTTAAACAAAGAAAAAAGACAAAAGTTTTTAATTAGTCTCATTTTTTGAAGCTTTTTTCAGCCCATCTTCAACTACCGGATTTGGTGATTTGTCCATTCAATCGATTCAATCGAACATTTCTCGAAAGTCACAATATTTCCGATGGATTAATTCAATATATGGAACTCTCATTTCCCATTCCAATATTGCATTCATTTCAAATCAAGTAGGTCTAGCAAGTATTACATGTAAGTCATAGGATGGGGCAAGATTATGGAAACAACTTTAAGTTGCGTTTTTAATGATGTTTTTTTCAGTTTCTTTTGCCTTCTTTCGTTGTTTTTGTTTAGTAACTAATTTATTTTAGATATACGATCCAAAAAGGATCTTCGACCAGCTATCATTACGCTTTATTTTGCTTTCTCCTGGATCAGGAAAGCGAGTAACGGAAATCGTCGATCTTCTTAAGGTCTCAAAGTCAGTTGTGTCAAAAGCGATCCAGCGCTATCAGGAAACCGGAAATACGGATGATCGGAAAGGACAAGACCGGCTAGTAACTGCACCTGCAATTCGAAGAAAAGTGATTGGCCGTTTTAAACGGAATTCAAAGGGCACGAAAAATTCAATTCGAAAAATGGCGACTTCAATCGGTGTATCGGCTCGTTCAGTTCGTCGGATCCTCAAAAAAGAAGAGTTTAAAGCTAGAAAAGGCTTTGAAAATATAAAGGCGTCTTATCTATCGCACATTTGTTTCCATAATTTTGCCCAGCCCTGTAGCATTAGTTAACTTAAAAACAATTATAAATTAAACAATACTTCACTCACTGTCAGAGCCTTTTACGATGAGAGAGAGAAGCTTACCCTTCACGACAACGAATTGGAAGAGCTTTTGTTGAGAATGGGCAATATAAGTTATAGAGATTTCTTAAATAAGGCATGTTAAGAAAAGTACTTTTTTTAAAACACTATTCAGGCGTCTCTGCCATGTGAAGCGTTTATGAACAATCCATCCGATTGTGTGAATAGCACTGAAGTCTATAGTTCGACGGGAAAATGCTATCGGATACCGGGAGAGACTCAAGTGAATATATAGCATACCAGCAGAAAACGCTCACTTTGTTCGCGTTTTCCGCTGGGGAGGCGGGGAACCCATTCAAATGACTAAAACCACCGGGACCCATGTTAAGCTGCGTTCTTTTTTAGAAATGGACCTAAAAGTCAGATTCCCCATAGCCGAAAACTCTTCAGAGCAAGTTATCGCGCGCAAAAGCTGAATACTTTGCCTTTTAATCGATGGAGCAAACGTAATTACGGAGCGTCGCGTTTGCTCACAGACGGACAAACAGACAGACACACAGACGCCTCTTTTGTTTTATATATAGTAGATTACATTGAAATTTTCGTTCTATTCCGGATTTGGGCAAGGCTATCGTCGAATCATCAATCTACCCACAGAACACTATAGCCCTGCAGTAAATCAGGTAGGGTTAAATAACATAAAGAAAGATAACACAAAGATGTACTATAAAGTGAATAATTCCTATGTGTTTTTCAATCTACATTTCCACTAGCTATACTTAAAATTGAAGCTTCAAAAAAAAGTTTGCAGTTAAAGGGAAACGCTAATAAAAACTATCCAAGAAAGATTAGATTCGGTCCAACTTTTTTGAGTTGGTTCGGTTTTGAGTTGAAAGTTAAAAATTTCAATTTATATTGAGAAAATAAGAAATAATTTTATCATAACAATAATTATATTTAAATTTAGGTCCCAAACGACGGACTCATTATAAGGCTTGTTGAGAAGGGATTGGACATCGATAATGATCTCACGTTTGTCCCTATAGGTTCGACTCATTACAAAGAATCGGAGTGCTTCTAAAGAATCGGAGTGCTTCTAAAGAATCGGAGTGCTTCTAACTTCTAAAGCACCAATGCAAAATGAACAAAAAAGTTATCTTTTGCAGTTTTCCAGGTGTGCATGCGCTTTTTCCTATCACAGCCGTCAAATATGAGTTCATGAATGATCCACCAAAGTATACATGTCATGAGGAGGGGAATAAGACATACAGTTCTGTTTACTGTCTTGAGGTGATGGAAAAGATTTATTCTTTGAATGTATAACACTATGTTGGGTTTTAGGAATGTTTCATGGCAGCAGCGGAGCAACAATGCAATTGCTCAGTTGTCGCCGCGACCATGCCTCAAAGAGAGCGAACATGTACGACAAAAGAGTTTTACACTTGTTTCTTGATGGGAGCACAAGATTTATGGTCTTCTGAAAGGAAGAAGGTATTTTAAAAGACAAGAAACTATTTGTTGACTTTGAAAGGCTACAATAAACTCCAATGACATAACTTGTTTTTCAGAAATGTCGACTTCAATGTCCACTCCCGTGCACATATTGGGAATACGAAAAACAGATCTCGTTTGCAAGTTTCCCCTCAAAATCAGTGAGTTGACAAATTTAAAAGTTAAAGATTAAATGAATTGAAATTGAAGTGAAATCTTTAACTAGAAAAACTCTAGTTAAAGTAGTTAAAGACTCTAGTTTTTCAGGCTCGTCAATTTGTGAAAGATGAGAAAGAGTGGGAGAAACTACAATCAACGATAATTCTCGAGGTGGGAAATGATAGAGTCTTTAATCCATAAATATTCTATAGATCTATTTCAAAGATCTCAAATATACATCGATTAAACACGTAGTAGCGATGCCGTTCCAATCATTGATTGCACAGATTGGTGGTGAGTTGGACGGGTTTTGGATTTGAATTTTGGCGACGAGAAGTTGATTTGAGGTTTTGATATGTTGTGAGATATCAGGTTGATGCAGAAGCCTTTTCGTTCCTTTTCGTACTTTCGTTTAAAATCAACAAATGCACCAATTGAACTACGGTTTATTTCATTAGAAAGGTCACTTATTTTTCTAAAAAATAACATTAAAACGGACTTTAAAAGGTTTTATGCCTGGATTTTTTTGGGAGCATGAAGTCGTGCAGTCAAAAAGAGATGAGAAATTGAACAATAAACACTTTTTTTATAGATCAAATCATAGGTTAATTGGTGAATTTGTTACTTTTTAACGGAAGAACAAAAAAACGGAACGAAGCCAACCAAAAATCTCATTGAATATAGGACACATCGAGTTTTGGAAAGAAGACGCGTTACGTTTACGGGGAAATTACGTTTTGGGCCTTCATGTTGTGCGGATCTGGTATCAAAATGTAGCCTTCAATTGGGCTACAAGATGGTATAAAAAACTTTTAGGAAAACGGTTGTTTAGTACAAGAAAAATGGCCGCAAAGTGGGAGCACCAACACTATACACCAATACAAAAGACGATACGTCGTTGTTAGTATTGCGATGTACAGTCGGCGCTCTCATTTTGCGGTTTTTTATAGTCTCACAAAGTTTTTTATACCATCGTGTAGCCCAATTGAAGACCTTCTCTTTGATACCAGACTCGCACAAAACGTAGGCCCTGGTCAATGGCAATTCCATTCGGCGCCATTTTCCTTTTTAACACAGCGGCACAATCTTCATGGTCCCTGTTTTTCTGATGTTTTCCATTTTTGTAATACCCAGTCTCTGTAGACAAACCAAATTTTATACTGATTTTATTCTTTTTTTATATTTTCTATATTCCAGGTCAATTCGGTCTATGGGCTGGTGGAAGTGTGATTTGTTTACTCCAAACGATCATCTATACATCCCGTCATTTATATTATCGCTGCAGTAAATAAAAGGAGTATTGAGGAGAGGAAGTTATGATGACGAGAATGACGGAAATAAACAAACACAATAGAATAGGTGTCTTTCATAAAGTGTCTAGTGTCATAAAGTGTCACGCTAGCAATGATTATTACCACTTTTTTCGAATTGTTCTTGATAAGATTGAAGCATCGATTGTCCTGTGCATTTTCCTGAAGCTTTCTAAAGTTTAATCCTTGATTAATCCATTTTCTAAAAGACACCTACTTAACTATCGAATTTTTCTATACTATTACTTTTGTTTTTCTAAAATTTATAACCTTGGAACATTTGATTCTTTGCATAAATTTCACAATAAAATTTTTGCAATTTTATCATTACAAGGATAGATTTACATTTGAACTTGATCAAAATATTTAGAAAGGCTTTTAGACAATAATAGTTTGCCTCAACTAGTTCAAGTCTACAAATCCTTAAAGTTATTTCAAAGTTGACTTTATGTTATCAACTTCATTTCAATGTTAAGCTGTTTGATAGCTGTTTTTCAACTATCAATATCTTTTTTGAAACTACAAATGGACACTGGGATATAACAGGAAAGTATAGCTTATTCTTTTTACCAAAGTTTTTACTTACCCAATGCTTATTTAGGAAAGCTTACGGTTTGTACAATCAAATAATCCGATTTCCAATAGATTTTGTCTCAAAAATGATTGTCTTTCATTCCGCCATGGCTGCCATGACTGGCTAAGAGCTCTGTATCTTAGCCGGGAGGTTAAGGGTTCAATCTCACCAGCTAGATTATTGGTTCTTTTTCCCATATGCCGTATTCTCTCTAATAGTAGTGCGCACTACTATTTTTTCAACCCCCTCTCGGACCGCAATACTATTAGCAAGTGCACTACTATTAAAGAGTGCACTACTATTAGAGAGAATACGGTATATGGATTTTTTTCTTTCAAACATTTAGGGCTTAAGGGTTATGTTTATGTATTTTTTGTATCACATTATTCGTATGACTAAATTTATTTCAAAAGTCTTGGTTTTTAAGATCTAGACTTGAGCCGGAAAATCCTCGAGAGCTCATGCTCACTTGATTCGATTGATCTAGAGAAAACACGTGATTCCACCCAAGCATCATTTTGGCAATGAAACAAGCCTCAAAAAGAAGAAAAGACTTTGAAAGAGCATTGACCATCCATCAATTAGTCACTTCTAAAGAAAGAAAAGAAAGAAGCGAAAGGAAAGTTTGGGTGTGATTCTTTCTTTTTCTTTTCCCCCAATTTTCGTTAAGATGGGGATTGATCTCTTTGTCAACGGAGGGACAGACTGTGAGTTCTTCTCCTTCTCCTCACCTCCATCACTTCCACCTAAAAGCTTTACTCTTTTTTTTTTTCTGAAAGACTCACTATAGTGCTATAGTTGAATTCCTTGTCTCCACTTCTTCGATTTTTATTCAAAATTTGTTAGGCATAAATTCTATGAAGCCGATTTTCATCGGTAAGCCATTTCATTTCTATTTATTATTATTTTTCACAAGGAATACATGTTCTAAAAGACACCTATTTTAAAGACGTCGTAATCAACTTACATTTGATAAGCCTTTTGGCATTTTGGCTTTGGCTTTAGGCTCATTTTGGCATCATTGATTGAGCTTCTTCATCTAATGATACCCAATTTTAGTTAATCAAATGAAAACTAAAGGGTTTAAATACGATAGTTCTCTAAAATACCGTATTTCTTCGAATAGAAGACCGGGTAAAGAGTATCATCGCGTACTCCTGCGTAGCAGTCCTTTTTAAAATTTCTTTTCTGCATAAAAGCTTTCAATGAAGTGCTATAGAGCTGGAAAATGACTCAAAAATACCACATGAGCTAACAGATTTTTGGGCCATTTTCCAGCTCTATAGCACTTGATTGAAAGCTTTTATGCAGAAAAGAAATTTTAAAAAGGGCTGCTACGCAGGAGTACGCGATGATACTCTTTACCCGGTCTTCTATTCGAAGAAATACGGTATGTGTATCTTAGAAATCGTCGCATATACCCTAGTTAAGTTCAGAATTGTTTTTTTTTTCAGCTAGTCTCTTGTTGACTCTTTTCCCGGTCTCCTTTGGTGCTTTGTGGAACCTGGAAAAGGTAAATTTGAAGAAATCTTTGTTTAATTTAGATTTAGTGAAGAAAATTTATTTATAATTAACCTTTCTACATTACACTAATAGTGACCGAATGATCTCTTCTAGATTTGTGAGTGTGAACTCGGTTACAACGCTCTCGCTTACAACAATTATGGTTGTTGGTGTGGATTGGGTGGATCACAGAAACCAATTGATGGAGTTGATCGGTGAGTGATGATAAATAGCTGACTCTTCGAAAGTGGAGTCTGTAAGAAATATACTTCTGAGGTTCGTAAATGCTTGTGAAACCGTGTCGCAGTGTGGTAGATGCCTTCAAAACGCAGGATTTATCAAAACTTTCCCTTATTATGGCAAACTTTGCTCAAAGTGGAGCAACTTGGCACTATCAACACTTTCAAAGTCAAAAAAGAAGAGTGGAGAGCTTTTTATTTGATGTCCAAATCGTTTTTGGACACAAACTTTTAAACTTGATCACAAGAAAAGAAAAACATGCACACCAGCTGAATGAAAGCTTTAAAAAATGGGTTTTTAGAATACAGAATTACAACAAACAGACAACGGACAAAACTCGCTCAAAAGCAAAGCTTAAATAACGGGTTTTTTTAAGTATACAAGCTACAACAAACAGACAATGGAATATCGTCTAGTAACTGATTACGGTATCTTATCCATCGATTTTGAATTTGTGTATTGACTGTCTGCAAAGCAATGGTAATTTGCCACAGAATCCCTTTCAAGGATTCAGAAGTTGAGCGCTCATTTTGTTTTATGACTTTTGCAATTTCAGATGCTGTATGATGCACGACAAATGCTATGATCGAGCTGTTGACAAAAAGGTTAGTTGTGGAATATTGAATACAAATTTATATTATCCACAAAGTTTTAAAGCAATCTTTTAGCTCTGCATCACCACTAGTTTCGAGTATATCGACGATTTTCGATGGCAATGCACTAATAATACAGCGGCTTGCGAAGGTTGATTTATGAAAATCATGAATATTTCTTGTTCTATCAAAAAATAATTCCCTTTTAGCAAGTATTGATTACAATTTCAGCCTCAACAAATGCTTGTGCGGCAGCTTTATGTGCATGTGACAAAGCTGTTGTTGACTGTTGGAAACAATACGAGAAGCCAAGGAGTAAACCGAAGTCTGTTATTTTGAATAAACAATTCAATTTATTAGATATTGTTTTCAATTTGATATTGCTAAAGATATTGCTAAAGATATTGCTTTCAATTAGAGTTGATTTGCATTTAAAAACAAATGGATAATATAATGCAAGTCTTCTTTAGATGCAATGGTATCCGCCGCCTCTTGCAACTCGTCGACTCGGCTCTTGAGCATTTTGAACATTAGAGTTAAATAAACAGAATTAAATAAACAGAATTAAATAAACAAATTCAATTACAAAACTTGGCACATTTTCTTTAGTAATCAAGAATTGATTTGATCAGTTTCAGAATCAAGAATCACTTTTGATAAAATGAAAAAGTAGAAAGAGATTTTGAAAATTTTACAGATAGATGGCTGTCTAAAACGCCTCTATTTCTTGTGTTTTATCTTTAGTCCAACTTTGTGAGGGTTTTAATTGAAAGCTATCAAATTGAAATCAAAAATTTGGAGATAAAAGTCTCTAGTGTTTTCTAAAAGATATCTTTCTCTTTCTACCGTAATCTTGTCTCCATTTTTGACCAATCTATCCACTTGTATCTTTCGATATCCTTTGTGAATCCTCATAAAGTGTCATCTTACGAAAACTACCGTAATCTTTCTCTTGTTTTATTCAATATTTTACTTGACACACCTAAAACCGTATAATAATCGAATAAAATTTAAATAGTGAATAGATGGAATAAAATCTAGAACCAAGCTTTGATTGATGTTGATGTTTTAGAAAGAGATTTTGAAACCGGATAGAAGTCTTGTCTCCTAGTCGGGGGGTTAAGGGTTCAATCCCGGCGGCTAGAAAGATTGGTTCTTTTTCCCCGTTATTATGGGGTTTTTTTCTTAACAACATTTCGGTAATAGGGGTAATTAGGGGTAAAAATTTCCCCCATTATGTTGCCATTCATTATTCGTGTCGAATAAATATACTTTAAACGCGAAAGGGATTCAACGCTGAAGATATGTCTTAAATTTTGGGGGGTAGCCAAAACAGCGCCATAATAGAAAACGTTCAAAACAGCGCCGTCAAATTTCTCAAAATCCGAAAAACCAAGCCGGTTCAAGTTTTATATCAAAAAATTCCTTGCGTTTTTGGCTACATGATGGGTGAAACAGTTTTTTAGAAAAGTTAATATTTCATAGATAAAAAGAGCACTCAAAATGTGTGTCGAGTGATACTCAGTTGGTTAACTGAATATCTTTAGAGACCCATTTTGAGTGCTCTTTTTATCTATGAAATATTAACTTTTCTAAAAAACTGTTTCACCCATCATGTAGCCAAAAAGGCAAGGAATTTTTTGATATAAAACTTGAACCGGCTTGGTTTTTTGGATTTTGAGAAATTTGACGGCGCTGTTTTGAACGTTTTCTATTATGGCGCTGTTTTGACTACCCCCAAAATTTAAACTACAGTCAAGTTGCATCAAAAGTTTTTAGTTAATTTCTCGAAACGAGAATTTAGAGCTCATCAAGTATCAGTATTTCTCCAATCCGAAAAAGACGAAATCCGAAAAAGACCAGTCCCATTTCCTTTTTTCGAAATCAAACTTCAATTAAGTCGTGTTCAAACGTTACCCCGAAAAATCACATTTGCGCCATGAAATTGCTTTACACTGTCAAACAAGAGAGTCTCTTTTATTAAAGAGTACAATTAGATTAAGATCATGAACAAAAATGGGCACAAAAAAGGGAATCGGGTAGCGGAATGAACTCGAAAAATTGGCTGTGCTTTTATCGAATTTTTCTATTTATGTAAAATCATTTCTTTTGCCATAAGCACATCAAAAACTTCATCTATTTTCACTGAGGATTTCAAATTTCATTTTCTTTGTTCAACTCTTTGTTCAACTTCATTTTCTTTGCTCAACTTTCTTTGTTCAAAGCTTTATTTTGTTGAATACAGAGTGTTCCTCTTTAAACTTCTAACTTAACGTAAAAATTTTTAATAATCTTTTTTTTTGAACTCAGCTTTTCTACGATCAAGCTTATACAGCCAAATTTCTGGCAAAAAGTATTCATTTTATTGAGTCTACAAATTAGAATACGGATTTAATTGGATGAAAGTTATGAGTAGTTATACTTGATAGTTTAGACTGGGCCAGGTAAGTTTAGCAAGTGAATAGGGTCGAAGTCCTGGAAAGCCTAGCACACTCCTGGTTTACAGCTTCAGTAGCTTCAGTATTCGGTTTTTTTGACAAGATCTTGTGATCCTATCATTTCTCTGTCGACAAGCCTCCAATTCAGAATGGTCTATAGTTCTTTGTATCTAAATAAACAATTTTGATGGAAAATCAAACTCTTAATCTATCCCGACAATGGACTGTTCCCCTCAATCAATGGATCATTTTGGGATATTCATTTTCTTCAATGGCCCTCTACATTTTGCTTATCACGAAGATTCTTCTGAATCGCCGTCGGATTAAAGTTTTCGCCTCCGCTTTCTTTGATTTGATTATAACGGAGGTGAGCTTTGAGATCACATGATTTTGTAAACATTTTGATGAAATAGAAAGGTAATGGTAGTTGGATTCAAATATTGGTTTTTCTTTTGTCCAAATCAGAAACTAAAATAAAAAGCAGAAATCAGAAAGATTTTGGTGCTAAACTCAATTTACTCAAAATACTCAATTTAAAACTCTCTTTAATTCTAGTTGGGCAATTTTTAAAGCAAAGACTAAGTAAAAAAAAGCTAATTCTAAAATATGACAAAAAATAAAACAATCTATAAATTGAATGAATGAAATAAAAGATGTCATAATACTTATTGTAAGGTAAAATAGAGTGAATTCGAGCGATTAAGTATCAAAAAAACGAGGGAAGGGATTGAACCAGAGCCAAGCATTGATAACTGGTTTTGGAAACAAGACCCTTATCCACTACACCACAAGGTCTCATTTCGGTGCGGTGAAGGGAGCCGGTAAATTCTTTCTTACCTCCTTTCTTCTTCTCCCTTGTCTTTCCCTTTTTCTCTCTTGAGGCTAAGGTGCCGGATAGCTCAGTGGTTAGAGGTTAGAGCCTAGGAAGCAGCAGGTCGAGGGTTCAATCCCTCTCCAGAAATCTTTTGCCAATTTTTTTCAATTTTTCTTTTCAAAATCCAGACAAAGCCAAAGTTCTAGAAAAATTAGAAAAGCCTAAGCCTAAACAATGGTTTGTTTGTCATTATTTCCGCTTTTGGAATAATCAACCTGATAAATTGTGCAACGGGATAATGAAATGGTAATTAGATTTAAAACTTGGGTTTTTTTAAAGAGTTTCAAACTTAAATGTTTAGTTCATAAATGATTTGATCTATTGGATATTCATTCAATTTGGACTGAGATTTCCTCGATATTACATCTTGCCGTTCACTTCTAGCGCTATTGGAACGTGAGTTGATTACTTATAAGCTGAAAAGCTTAACTGAAAGCTTTCCCAAGCGCACCTTTCAACATTCTCTAATTGAAACTCACAAAGTTTCAGCCGTGGAACTGTAGGCGGCTTGATTGTTGAAAACGGAAACAACATTCTCTAAGCTTAGCTGAAAATGTTATTTGTAGAGAATTTTGTATTTACTTCAATTTTCGAAAATAATCGATTTTCCTTTCAGAATGTGCTACGGTATGATGCTAACATTTCGAGGGGTCCTTTATTTGGGCCACATCCCGTTCGCGTTGAATCGCTTGATTCTATACATCTCACCAGTCATGTACAGAAGTGTAAACTTGATCGATTCATAGATTGATCTATTCAGTCATTTCTCAGATGTGGACAAGAAAGACAGTCCTTTTGTGTTTCGCGATTCAATGGTTTATCGCACTTTCCGTGAATATTCCTTTTTTCTTGACTGTTGGCGGGGCGACGATGAAAGTGATGCCGACAACGATGTTGATGGCCGGGAATACGGCTGCTGTACAGGTTAGACAGAAAGTTCGACGCGCCGGTCCTTTTTACGGGTTGCGGCTAGGAATACCAAACATGGTCGGCGCCGGGATTCAAACCCAAACTTAACACTTTTCACTTACCGGGTGAACACTCTACCAATGAGCTACACCGACACGTATCCCATTGCCGCCAGAGTATGGCCTTATTCCTTACTAGAAAATGATGATGATCTTCATCAAAGTCAGTTGGCTTCCCATCGCTAAGCATTAACTCAATTAGGTAAGCTCCTCTTTGACTTTTTGGAGCTGATAGTGAGTCTATTTTATAACTTTACAAAACTTGACATATTATAGCACATAAACTACCCTATTTATTCCAATTAAAGAGCCCCTTTTAGACGAAAATTTTCTGAAAAAAAGTGCGGAAAAAAGGTGCGCAAATGTCCGGGTGCGCAAAAAAAAGGTCGCATTTGTCCCATTCCCGAGCCGTCTCTTCTATTAGAATGTTTACGATACTCTACTGAAGGTCTCTGATTGAGAACTGAGCTCAATTGGGTAAATAATGTTGAATGATAAACAAACTCAGCTGAATCTGACTCGATTTACGTGTCAGTCTTAATTTATCATGCTGACAACTATTAAGCTGCCAAATTAAACGGGAAATGGGTTCTTTACCGTACCCTAATCAGAAAAACAGGAGAAAGTTGATTGGTCCTTTTGTCTAGTTGCTATGAAAGTTCAAAAGCTTCTTTGTATTAAGGTAGCTGAAGGTTGAGAATCTACTAACAACTTGATTCAAAACGATCCAGCCAGCCAGCACAGATTTCCTTTAGATGAACACCATTCAAGCCCTCACTATCATCCCAATTTCGACGGTCATTTGCTCGATTTCTTTCGGCATTTCTCTCAAGATCAGTGCGCAAGTAGGCAAAATTTTAACAAAAATTTACGAGTAAACTCTGCAGGTAAAAAGCGTATCAAAACTCGAGAGAAGACTCCTGATTTGCTCAATTTTACAAGCGATTCCTATGTTGTTAGAGTTGGGAAGAAGTACCACACAGGTATGTTTAACATATAAAAATTAGCATTTAAAACCTATCAATTCATTACTTTTTCTAGTTCTTACTCGTTTCCGTTCTCAACAATCAAGCCGCCTACAGTTCCACGGCTGAAACTTTGTGAGTTTCAATTAGATAATGTTGAAAGGTGCGCTTGGGAAAAACTATCGTAATCCGTAATTTATTGTTTCAGAGAAATACGGTAGTGACTAGAGTACGGTAGTTTACTCATTACACATCTATTAAAATTTACGATTTCTTTTTTCGAACATTGACTCTAGAGCTTGCCCCAGTTATCCCCAGTTACCGTAACCTGTCATCGATGTACTGTAGCCATATCGCCATTATCTGAAGACAGGCCGTACGGATTAAATCTAAGATAGGCCGTACAGTTTAAACCAATTTAAGGTGGATCAAACCGATAAATACAGTATCCTATAGCTTAAGCGAGTGGCTACGGTAAACTTTAGAGCGTCCTTTAAAACTCTTTAAAATTACGGAGCAGATTTAGATTTTTGCCATTCTCAATTTGATCCAAAATGAAAAACTTCAAGACTCTTTTATCGTTTAACCCTTATTTCCGTTTTTTTTCAGAATTAGCTCAAACTTCTTGTACCAAACTCTTTATAAATTACAGCTTTCAAAATTTTCAAAATTGAAAACAAAGCATAATTACCCAAAACGTTTTCGTGAAGAAATACCGGAAGCAGAATAATTTTTGAAAATTTTTTACAAAGCTAGTGATTATTTGGAGAAAGGTAAATTTTTACTAGTTCAGACATTGTGTCTGGGAATGAGGAAATGCATAGAACTAATTTTGTATAGAAATTGTCTCAAATACCCACTTTGTACTGTTCCAAAGTTCGAAACGCATAGTATACCAGAATGAAAGTGTTCAGTCGGCCAACAATAACATTTTCTTGAATGAATACTTTATTCCGACTAGAGCCTTTCAACTTTAGAGCGACTAGAGCCAACAACTTTCAACTCAACCTTGCAAAACCCCCCGTAATCTTATTTCCAACAATAGCAATATCAAATCTATTATTTGGCATTTTGTATTTTTCTGTATCCTTTGTAAACTCTTACAGAATCAGATTAAAGGTAAATAGATTGAAAGCTACAGTAACTACAGTACAGTAGTAAGCTATAGATTGAAAGCTACGGTAATTACAGTACAGTAGTAAGCTATAGATTGAAAGCTACAGTAAGGGCAAAGCTACAGTAATTTTAAGAATTGACACGTTTGAGAAAAGTCATATTTGAGAGAAGCACAGTCTAATTTCAATATCTCCAGAAAGCTTGTGAGAATCCAATCCATTTTTATTCAATTTAGAACCAAGATAAGATATCTTTTTAGCTTTATTAAAATAAAGGTTGAAATCCTCAAGAAACAAAATCCTCATTAACTTTCAGATATTATTACATGGACATCACTTGTACCATTCAACCGTGGTGCCTTTTGGCGACAAACTCGAACATTCGCCGACTCTTGTTCTCCACCAAATCACAACAAATAGAGACGGTAATGGAGAGTCAATTTTGGAGATAAAAAGTTGTATGTGTTTTGTGAAAGCTTTTTGAGAAAACTTAGAAGTTAGCTGGAAAAATTACTATTGGGTTGGGGAGAATGAGTCGGCGCCAAACTTTAAAGGGACTTTTTGCACACATAAAGCCTTCTTTAAACATACGTTTGGTTTCATAAAAAGGATCCACTATTTCTCTAAAAAATGACTTTTGAGAGATTCCACAAAGCTTTTCTTTCGGGGGTTTATAAACACTGGTTAAAAAAAGGAGGACCTACTGAATTCCTTCAATAAACCTTCTTTGGTTATATAAAAAGAAAAGGAATAAATATATTAAAAGAGCCAATAGTGTTTTTGGAAACAGTTGTTTTTTGAAAAATGGCTTTTCTTGAGGGAGGCGCTGTTTCAATTTTCTTTTAAATGTGATTTTGGGAATTAGTTAACCATTCTCTCATATCAACGATATTATAAGGAAGTGTATTTGATTTTTAAATAATAATATTAGTTCGGCGAACAAGTCTCTTTGCCCCTTTTTCATAATTCCTTTTAAAAACAGCGAATGCACCAATTGAATTACGGTTTGTTGCATTAGAAAGGGCAATTATTTTTCTACAAACATTGAAATGGGTTACAAGTGTCTTATGTGTGAATTTTTTTTTGGGTGCATGAAGTCGGGTAAGCAAAAAGGGCTTCTCGATGATGCGGTTTAGACAATTTGGCTAAGGAAACCTATCTTCATGTCAATAGATAAAAGATAGAGCAAAACAAGTTTGATAAATAGCCAAATTTTCAGAGAAATACATTTGGCCAATTTTTTCGTAGACGTTTTTATAGATTTTTTTCGTATTTGGATTTGCTTGGAAACGGATCTAAATTAGCATAAAAAGATGGGAAATTGCATAATAAAACTTTTTTATTTGGAGGAAACCTTAGGTAAATAGCTGAATTTTTTGATTTTTAAACGGAAATTAGGAAAAGAATGTAAAGATTTGTTTGCCAACCTGTTTGTGCCAACAAAAATTGTTTGCTTAACAATTTTTGCGCTTTTCAAGCAAATCTATTGCTTTTCAGACAATCTCTGTTGCCATTGTCACTCAAAATCTCAATCGTCCATCAGTGCCAAGTCTTCTCAATGAAATTGATTGAACTTCTTTAATGACCTTTAACTACGAATATAAAAATTAAAACCATTTGAAAATTATAGTTTTTTTTACACAAATACAATTTCTAAATGTTTTTGAGCTTGTTATGGTGGAAAGATTACGCCTTTTGATCTGTGTTTTGATCTTTTTTTTCTTCCAACAAGAAAAACTTCTAGGGAAAATTGTCATAATTTTGAGAATTAGAATTAGAATTTAGAAAAGTTATTTGCTGACTTGAATTTTACTTTAACTTACATATATTTGAATATATTGGGTTGTTCGGATATAAACAAGCGTTACTAAACTTATTGTTTTGAGGGAAGCTTTTAAAAAATGTCATTTTGTATTTAAAAGTACGTTATCTTGTGCGTATTTGGAATAATTTTAAACGGTTAATTTCTTATTTTTAAGATCTTTTTTCTTGCTTTAGATGACCGACTTCAAACATCAAGTTCGCGTCTGCCTACTTTACGACTTCAAACTGGGCAAAACAGTAGCGGAATCCCATCGAGATTTGGTCAAAGCATTTGGGAATGATGCATTGTTCGAAAGCCTGGTTCCAACGCTTTCGGAATGGTGATGAAAGTCTCGAGGATCATGAACACTCTCGTCGACCTCAAGCGGTAGACAACGATATTTTGAGGGCTGCAATCGAATCGGATCCATGTCAAACGAACTTGCTCAACAGTTTCTATGTTCAAATTCTACTCCATTTCCACGCCATTGGAAAGACGCTCTGACTCTTTTTAAACGGATAATTTCTTATTTTTAAGATCTTTTTTTTTTGCTTTAGATGGCCGACTTCAAACATCAAGTTCGCATCTGCCTACTTTACGACTTCAAATTGGGCAAAACAGTAGCGGAATCCAATCGAGATTTGGTCAAAGCATTTGGGAATGATGCATTGTTCGAAATCCGATGCCGAGCCCCGTTCCAACGCTTTCGGAACGGTGATGAAAGTCTCGAGGATCATGAACACTCTCGTCGACCTCAAGCGGTAGACAACGATATTTTGAGGGCTGCAATCGAATCGGATCCATGTCAAACGACACGTGAACTTGCTCAACAGCTTCTATGTTCAAATCCTACCATTGATGAGCATCTCCACTCCATTGGAAAGGCGATCAAATGCGGGAAATGGCTTCCTCACGAGTTAAGCAGTGCAAACAAAGCTTCACGGGTCGCTATTGCCGGAATCCTCATGCGCCACGCTAAATATCATGGCTTTTTTGGTTCTCTCGTTACTGGAGATGAGAAGTGGATTCATTTCGATAATATTGATAATACAATACTATTCGATAATACAATACTATTCGAAAACGGAAATGACTAGGACCGGGAGAACGGCCAAATCCGACCGTGAAACCGGACATTCATGGGAAAAATTAAGCAGTGCAAACGCTCGTTTATATCCGAACAATCTAATATTTTAATTTGAAAACATTTGAAATCGCCTTTCAAGGCTATTTTTAAGTTTCTAGTATTGACAAGCACCAAAAACAACATTTCTGAAGCCATTTCCCTCAAAACATATCCAACATTTTGGCATTAAAAAGTAAAAAGTTTTCAAAGTCAAGAAATCAAATCATCAATTTGGATATTTTTCGAAATTTAGACAAACAATAATGTCACAAACTTCTCGAAAAGGCAAAATTTCATCTCTGACACCAAAAAATGTCCTCGACCCTACACTCCACCCACTATTTTTACACCAGACTTTGTAATTTTCAAAAAAAAAAATCAAAACGCTACATTGAACATCGAATTTTCATCACTTTCCCTTTCCTTTTGACCTTTATAAAATTTTTGTGTGCAAATTTTACCTCAATCGAACTTTAATACAAATTATAGGTGTACATTCAAATTATAGGGAGAGTTAGCTTCTCGGAAAAATTTTGAGAACAGAAATTTCAAGTTTACTTTGTGTTCACAAATGGAAACAAAGCATTTCTAGTGCACTCAATGTTTGTCTTCAATTTTAGTTTAAAACTGTAGCTTGCTAGCTCAAAACAGCAAAACTGCAAAACTGCAAATGTCCCAGGTGTATCGTGTAACTAAAAATGGAAATACTCTTTCTAGCGCACTAATCTTTCCGCTTATTATTGATCTTGCAAATATTAAGAAAGAAATGTACCAAGAAAAACAAAAGAAATCTCGATTAACTAAAAGAGAATTTCTATGGGCTAGCAAAGAATACAAATTCGGCGGTATTTTCATTTTTCATAAAGCAAAGAAAACTCAGAAAACTTCCCACGCAATAACGTCATTTCGGGTACGATTATGTGAAATTTTATCCCCATTCACAAATAAAATAGGAGTCAAATTTCGATTGACCACACATATTGATTGACACAAGTGGACTTATGCAAACAGTGTTCAAAAATGCTACATCCATCTAGGTCTACAGGGTCGACCAGAATTACGGCTTCACCTTTTCATCAGATTGCATACCAAACGCCGCAATCAATTTAGAAACCCTAAGTGCTATATAGATAATTGAAGCCTGAATTTTCTTGCCTACATTTCTGTACTAAAAGATCTTTGATTGGATTTTTGCAGCCCACTTTTCAGACCCTCAAATGAGCCCAATCCGATCAGTTTTCGGCACGCTTCCATTTTTAGCACTTTTCTAACTAAAAAACTTGTAATTAGAAAGAATTTTTCTTTAGTAAAATCACATTTAAAAATTATTTCCAACACCAAAGTGTTTTAACAATGTTAACCTAACCAAAAGAAAGGAGTCAAATAATATAATCGGATCTCTGTTAATTTTGACAACTCGCCTTCTTGCCTCTTGAAATCTCTCAAAAAAAAGCGCTTCTTTAAAACACTTTAGAAGCATTTTGTAGAAAAAAGATAGGGATTTTCAATAAAACAAACATTTTGTGGTCGATTCATCGTTTCTAAAACGGTCAATGAAGAGAGCATATCAACACAAAGTACTCAACCTAATACATGTACAGCGCCTAGATACACAAAATACCTGTCAGCCATTTTTTATGATTCAATTTTTATCCCTTACTCTGGCCTACCTTGACTCAAGTAGATTTGGAAACAAAAGCTTTTCTAAAAAGAAATTATATTTAGAGAAAAATTGTTTTTAACTTTAACTAAACTTTGCTCGAGATGTTACCTCTAGGAATTGCTTTGGGCACTTTGTATTGAAAACTTTTCAAGTACACAACGACTGTACTATCTGACACTTGATAATAAACATAATTATTGGGTTGGTGAATTGAAAACTGCGGGCTATTGTCATATGTGACAGTTTGAGCACTTTCTTCAAAAGAAACCCATTTTGGTGTCAATAGAAAAGTTGTAGAGAATCAAAAATCAAGCTTATATCCAAATTTTCAGAACGATTCAAAAACTGGTTTTCAAGAAATGCCAAATTTACGAATTTTCACAAAACTTGCATTTTCAGCGAAACTACTAAGTGAATCTTTTTGGAAATTTGGATATAAGCTTGATTTTTGATTCTCTACAACTTTTCTATTGACACCAAAATGGGTTTCTTTTAAAGAAAGTGCTCAAACTGGGCTGACAGCTGACCTCTCCAGTCCTCCATTTTTGAGTCTCACCCTTGTCTCACACACAAAGCAAAATCCTACTACGAAAGAGGAAACCGCAAATTGCCTGTAAAATGAGCAGAAGTCGTCAATAATAATGGAAATTATTTGAAATGAATTTATGGTTTTATGTTGAATAAATTTTAGTTCAAAGTTCCGCAGTTTTCAATTCACCTAATATTTTGGATTAAGTTCAGAAAACAATGTAACTATTTACTCCGATTGTCGTTAAAATAATTGGAACAAAATTTTCTGTGCTATTTTTTTTTGAACAATCCAGACAATACAGTCTATTAGTTCCATAACAAAATC